TCGTACACTGAGGTTCACTAGCCACCTTCTCAATTTTCTTTCATTCATTTTTTCATGCCCCTCAATATTTTTTTTTGGTTCTTTTCACCTTTTACTTTTGCTTTTTCTTCTTTTTCGCCTTTGTTTTTCCTTTTCTTTCCTAATTTTCTTTTACTTTTTCTCTGAGAATTACTAAATCTGGTTAGACAACTTTTTTTGTTTTCTCTGAAGATAGTTTAATGGCGTAGTGTTTCTTAAGCAATAAATCCCAAAAAATGGCTGTTTAATGTTACTTATTTTGGTTATCTTTCAATTAAAAGTTAAGAAATCACTAAACTGGCTAACAAAAAAATAAAAAAAACTTAAAACAACTTTAGTTTACTACTTAGTGATTTAATTACTTCTTTTAAATTATCATGAGATTTCTTTTGATACACTTAGCAGATGTTGTCTAAATCTGATTATTGAACTATTAAGGTTAACCTTTCCTAGAAGACATTTATCCATTTTTAAAATATCATTTGATAAGCAATTTGAATAAGTAAAAATTCCTAGTAGGGGTTACCTTATTAACAATAAATCATTTACTAAGTTATGTGAACTAATTTTAGGTTTGTGAAAAGGTATAAATTTCTCCAAACTTGCTCTTTTCCAAAACATGGGTGAATCATAAAAGTAAATTGGATTAAAAAAAAGTATAGGAGAAAATAAATGCATGAGGAATCACAATAATCTTAGAATACAACTATGTAAAATATATAATAATGCATAAATCAGAAGAGGTACAAAAGTATAACAGAAGCAAAAAAGTCAGGGTTATTGACTCCTACTCCACCATCTGTGACTAACTACTTTGTAGAGGGACATGACTCAAACAAAATCCAAATGAAAATTTTAAAAAAAATCAAAGCAAACTTTAAAATAATTTTTTTAAGAAAATTTAAGGCGAATGTAGAAAGTAAATACATTTGTTGCCTTCCAAGATAGAACTTGATTTAACGTTCAGATCATGATGAAAAAGGCTTCATCTATAATCAAAATTCTAATTTAGTAATCTTCGATCAATCACCAAATATTTTTTTGGTCCCAGAGGTTTAGCTAAGTTCTTAAAATTTAATTTTTTTTGCAAGTTTTTTCTCTCAGTTCGGTAATAGTCTTCTTGAGGATATGTAACGGGGTTATTCATATGATTATTTCTAAGGATATTTTTTAAATCTAAAATCCTCCCAATTAATTTCATAATCTACAAATCATTAGTTTTCTCACAAGTTGCAAGAAACGAGTCCTTATAAGATAATTCGACGTCTTCTAAGTTTTCGGTTGGGCTTTCCCTATGTTTTTTAAGTTCTGGATCTAATGCTACTAGGTTACTCTACTGCCTAGGGTTGCTTTACAACTCTCCTCCTTGGGGCACTCTTATGTTTGATACTATAGGCTCAACTATCTCCTTGACAATAGAAGGGGATGCCTCGAGAAGAAGAGCAAATTCTTCATCAGTCATTGTACAATTAAATCATCCAATTAAACATGCTCTTCAAGAACCAGCTCTTTAGATTCAAAGACTTGGCTCTCCACTACTCTTAACATCCTTTGGCATATTAGACTAGCTAATTGTTCCATTTGATTTTCTATGTTTCTTAATTCCACTGTTTGCCATTATAATTTATTAACCATGTTTATTTCCAATTCATTGAAAGTTTTAATTTCATCAGGGCAGTCACTATATTCGTTATTCTAATATTCTATATGGCAAATTTGGGAACACTACCAATGTCAGTTTCCTACACTTGAAGTTTCGGTAAGTTGACCAACTTGGGTTGTAAGTGTTGAAATAAGTGTCATCAAACCTAGTTTCTAAGTAGAATGTTCAAAATTCTTGTGGAAGCTAGCCACTAAGCACTTAGCATACTCCTAAAAAGTTAAAAACGGATTTATCCGAGGGTTTGCCATATTGAGTTATTAAAATATTTTTTATCTTTTCATTTTTTTTTCAACTTATAATTTTTCAGCACCTACAAGAAAACACACCAACAATATAAATGCAAACAAATATAAAATAATTAGAAAATGAAAAGCAAAAATTATTAAACCTAGATTCTCAGCATTTCAACTAAAGTTCTCTTTAAATTAGAATTCTTCGTAACGTCTTTCTCCAGCAATGGTGTGAAAAACTTGACGACTTGGAAAGTTATGGTGAAGCAATCCGGTTGAATCACACAAGTATATTTATTAAGTAATAATATGTTTAAAGAGAATCATGTATCGGTCCTTCGAGAAAAGTGTTAAGAATTATTCTGGAGAGCAAATCCTAAGTTTACTACACATCTAAACCTAGTTTAGTGTGATATCACTTAAGAGTTTGTTTTCTAAAATCTTATTCAAAAGCAAAAACAAAATATAACAATTTTGAAAAGGACAGGAAACAATGCCTGATAAATCTTATTGTTCTTCAAGTTATATGAGGCCTGCACCTATGTGATTTACGTGATGTGGTATTTTGTGGTTTTCCTAAGCTTTTCCTTATGTGATAGTTGTTAATAGGGATAAGAATTTCTCTTTATAATTATGCCTAGGTCAAAAGAAGGTGAGAATCCATGAATCCATGAAGTTGAGGTTTCATCAATCTCTATGGTATGCTACAGATTTACTCTGATCCAATTTTATACCCATTGTTATCTGAATTTTGTTATTAACTATTTTATTATTTTGAGCAATGGTCTGGAGTCAAAGATCATGAAATATTTTAACATCTTAATTGACCAAATCAACAGTAAATTAGATTCTGTGGTTAACACAAAAACAAAAACCTTAATTTCTCAAGAAAATGTACAACGAAAGAAATCATCTGAGAAAAATATAAAAACCACATACCATGAATCACAGAGATGCGATAGGAATTTTAACTATGCATATTAGAAAAAAACATAGGAAAAATATTCCATTGAAATCATGTTTAAAAGTAAAACTAAAAAGTTAATATTTACAAAATAATTTGTTTCCTCTTCCACAACAGTGACACCTCTCCAATACATTAGACCTCAAAAGTACAAAGTAAAAGGTAGAAACACTCTTAACACCTCAACTTCATGAGAGAAAGAAAATTCTAAGGGCAAACCCTCCAAAACCCTCTCTTTATGCTCTTCAGAAGTATTTAGGTCTCTCATCTACCAAAAAAGTGATTCGATTCGTGCCCAAGCTTCCTCATTTAAACATCTAGCAAACATTGGCTTGAAAATATCTTATAAAGCAAGCTTTGGACGTCTGGTAGTGTGACAATGCTTGAAACCAGCATGGTCAAGCCAGAAATTGGCATGACCATGTAAAATTGACTAATCTCATTATAACAATAACAATATAATTTTAGATGTTAAAAATGTAAATACATGGGATGTGTCTAGTATGTATGTAAATGCGCCTTAAACATGCACACCCGCCCGTCAAACCACCTAATAAAAATAATTTTAGTTGTTAGATATGTAAATACGTAGGATTTGACTTGTGTCTATGCAAATACTCATAGCCAGAGAAGGGACGCGCCACAATATCGACATATTAGTCCCACATCAGAATTTTTAAAGCAAGAAGTGTTTTTTAAAAGCTATAACTTTGCATTTCACGCCAAAAAAATATTTGCATTATATTTATAATAATATGTTTAATAAAGTTAATAATTATATAAATTTAAGAAGAATAATTTAATAAAATAAACTTAAATTTCTTCATTAATTGTTAATGATTAAGTTACAAGTTTTTCTCAAGTCATTTCGAACATGAGCCAAATGTGAATGGATGATAAAAGAATTAAATGAGGCTAATACGAACAAACACCTAGCAAGCTGAAATTCAGGAATAAAATAGAGGAAAAGATAAGGCAAAAGAGTGCAACATTGGGACCTTGTCCAGATGAAGGCCAAAACTTTTGTATCTACGAGTCAAATTAGATTCTAGTTTGTTTGACATTATTATGAGAATGAAATGAAGGGATCTATTTTTGTTATTATTTTTTAGTTTGTAATGGTTTTGAGTATAAATTAAAAACTTTGAGTCTTACATATGAAAATTGTAAAATTTGATGTGTTGTTGTTTGAATCCAGATTTATCTGTGAATAACACTCAAGGAATAAAGCATAATAAAGAAAAGAGGGAGATGGTGAGAGTGATGCATATTAATGAACAGTAGTCTGATTTGTTGATAAGCTATATTTTTATAAAATGATTCTACTATTTATATAGGAGGGATACAATATATGAAAATAAATGTGCTTCCCTTAATGGGGGTGATGTGGGATAATTTTAATGTTTGAATCTATGACTTTGCTACCATCTAACTTAGTTTGTTGAAATTAGTGGAACTTAGTTCGGCAAGACATGTTCATCCAAATGTGTTGAATTGGGGTTGTTCATCGGATTTTGATGGTCTTCAGGTCGACAAGACTTAACTCGATCGGCTTGACATTGTCGATTGACTATTATAATCTAACTATCGACTATTGATCCATAGACGAGGAACTCTTGTAGGCTGAACAAGGCTAAGCTATCTGGTCGAGCACTAATCATTATAGTTCAATAGATAGCCTATTCCTTACAAGCGGGTCCTTCGAGAAGCTCGTAGATTATGTTATTGTCAATTCTTGTCTGTGATAAAGAATATCATGGATGTCCCTGAGATGATGGCAATACATAACTCTGCCCTTCGTGTCAAGTTGTAGCAATAGGTAGATCAAGTCCTCATCTCGGCTCGATTGGCCTAAATATTTGGTTCAGGTGGCCTACATACGATCAGCCTCCATCCCTGACTTAGGGGGTTGCATATGATGAAGTGGGTCATTTGCTCTTCCGTCAATGTGCCCTCCGTAGTTATACTTTTTTGTCCTCCGGTCTATTGAATCTCCTAGATATTCAACCAAGCACAATCCTACATGCACAATATGAAAATACATTTTATTTAATTCATCCCAATTTTCTAAATATATTAAATTTCGAGTATTAACTTGAAAGGTACCCACCGCTTAGAGCACTGCCGAGTCACCGACCAGCCCGCTTTATATAGCCATCCGGTCGGATGTCCGTGCAGGGTACGGACCGAAGAAGATCCCCATCCGTTTCTCTGCTCGTGCCGATTAGAGATGATGTCCGGTGGCTACCTACAATTCACTGCCAGCGACCAGATCCCAGCCGATCCTGCGACGTGGACGACGGAGGAGAACAAGACTTTTGAAAGAGCGCTGGTGGACGTGCCGGAGGAAGCCCCCGATCGTTGGTGGCGGATCGCCGCACAAATCCCCGGCAAGGCTCCGGAAGACATCTACCTCCACTACCTCCTCCTCATCCACGACATCGGTCTCATCGACTCTGGCGGCGTCGATCTACCTCCATATGAAATCGAAACGGGAGATTTGTCGCCGGAGACGGCGGCGACGGCGGATCTTCCGATGAAGGAGGGGAGGAGGAAAGGCGTTCCTTGGTCGGAGGATGAGCATAGGTATGGAATTAATTTGTGGATTAGCTACTTAGAAATGATTTAGCTGTTTATGGAATTAATTTGTGGATTGAAATATAATTTAAAAAATTTTGTAGGAGGTTTTTGGAAGGATTGGAGAGATTTGGAAGGGGAGATTGGAGGAATATATCGAGGTGGTCTGTAAAGACGAGGACGCCAACACAAGTGGCCAGCCATGCGCAGAAGTATTATCTAAGGCAGAGTGTGAAGAAGGAAAGCAAAAGGAAGAGTATTCATGATATTACTACTTAGAGAGGAACAGAGGATATTCATGAAATGTATCAAGGTGTACAATGTGGGGGTGTTAATTAGTATTTAGTACAAATATGTGGTGCATTTAAAGTGATTAGTGCGTGATTAGTGTTATTTTTCATTCCTTTCCAACTACTTAATTTCATTCGTGTCCAGATTAGCGGGTAAGCAATTATTAAAAATAAAAAAAAAATGTGAACTTTTTTCGGTCTCTGAAAGTTGAGTACGGTGGATTTTTAGGCTAAACTTGGGGGTTATTTATCTATTGATTTTTTAGTACAAGTTTTTCAACTTTCCTGGCGGCATGTTTTGTCTGTTTCCCAGCTGAGTGCCGAACCTTAAAAGGTCAATTGATTGGATTGCTTCCTTCCGATGGCGATGGTACAACTCACCCCATTAGATGGGGCTATTCAATGCATTTGAAATTATATATAATTTTTATAAGTTATTTGTTGAGATTTTGAATTAAATAGAAATTATAATATTAATATTTATGTTGTTCGTGTGCTTTTTTCACTATTAACAGTGGAAAACAAAATTGTATATTTGATCTGTCGTGGTGAAATTTTTTTACATTTCGTTTGATGGCGATCTGTCTAAATTCTAAAACGAGCAGAGTCTTAGTGTTTGGCGTAATGCGCTCTGGAATTCCTCATAACAATTAGGTTCATTTATATGGTTTGGGAAAGGCTTCCGCGTGTTCAACAACATCTCGTCAAAAGTCAATTGTTGTTCACCGATAATTTAATCCTCGATTTGATAAAATCAAGCCAGGGCACTAAACTGAAGCAGAAGAAGCTGAAGGAAGGAGTTATGTATGCTTACTATTTGAGAGCTCATAGTGCCACATCTCTTTTAAAAGAAATATATGACTCATAATTTAAGAACAATGAATTCTTGTGTTTGTTAGAAATTCCTATAGCATTGTTAAATCCGAGATTATCAGTGAACAACAACAAAAGAAAAGATCGTAAATGAAGAGAGAGAGAATGAGAGTGTGTGTGTGGGGTAGGGAGAGAGAGGGATGAACACTAATGAAAAATATTCAAGAGTACTGATTCTTTATAAAATGTTTTCGCTATTTATGGCGGAGGAAATACAATATCGATATTACTTTTTTTATCCCATTTAAAAATAGACTGCATTGGAGTATTCTTGGTATTTTACAAGAAGGGTTTATCATTCGGCTAACTTCTGGCTTGGTCAGCTAAGCTTAGTTGACTAAGATTGATGGGGTTAGCCTTGTCAGTTGGGCTTGCTCCGTAAGGTTTGATCGGCTGACCTAGCCCAATTAACTATCTCCGATCTCAAGTGAGGAAATTTCAGGTCTCTGTGTAATGATCAGAGATACTTTGGAGATCGGGCTTTTTCGTTGGGTCGTCTCCTCTGAGGGATAGGATATCACATCGAATTTGTTGCTTGTTATGGATGGCTCATACACTCTCTTGTCTCGTTTCTGGTCGAATGTTTTATGATTTTATTATTTGGTTGTCTTCTTGTTTGCTTTTTGGTTTGGTCGGTCTCAGCCAAGTTGACTTGGCTTGTCCGATCAAGTGGACCTCATGACTTGCTGTGGATCTACCTTCCACATACTATTCTCTTATGTACCATTAGAAAGCCTAAAGATCAGTGCACACACATTTTTAGTGTATGTATTTTAATTCTCCGATTCTTTTACTTCTTGAAAGTGACGTTGTGATAAGAATAAGAAAATTTAATGCAAATGTATCTCATTCCATTTGAATTAATGAATCAATGATTGAACTCTGTTGATGTTAAAGTCTTTGATTCTTATAAGCAGGGCTCCATGAGACTCCTCATTCCTAATTTACTTTGAGCCTCCCTTGCTAGAGTTGGTTAGCTTTTGTGTTTTAGGCATTGTTATGGACAGACTGTTGAAGTAGCGAACCAACATTCTCACCAACAATTTGGTTTGCTCAGTCTTTGGGAAACTGAAAGGACAGGACTACCTGGAGGGTGAGAAGAGGAAAAAGCTACTTGTGAAGAGGTAAATGGTTGCACCCTCACTACTAGATCAGGTGGGGTCATCTAATTCAATCCTTGAAATAGAGTGGAGAAATGCTTAGACGATTGACCTGACCCTTGATCCGACCACTCAATCTTCATTATAATTCAAGACCCTCCAATTGAGCAGATTAAACAAATATGTTATAGCATTCTTCCATCGCTTTCTCTATTGCTCTCTGGTGGGCTTGCGACCTCATTTATGGTATCTAAGTTGAATCAACTCATGGGCATGAGGGGCTTTTGTCATGTTTGTGTGGTCCGACTTTTTGAAGTCTTCTTTATTTTATGATGAATCTAAATGCAGAAGATCAAAAACTGATACAATTATTTGAGGATCAATCAAGGGCACTACTGAACATAGACCTGAAGCTACGAGGGGGTAGTCGGCTGTCGAGTGAAGATGGCATGGTCGATTGCCCTAAAAATCCTCTGGAGATGTACGAGAAAGCAACTGAGGGGCCCAAAGCATCTCCCAAATCACTCGCTCGATGTTTCGATAAAATTGAGAGTTTTTTTTGCTTGATTGGAAGGGATACAATGAGTTGAGGAGATGAGCTAGTTATTGGCTTATAAAGAGAAGATGTAGAAGTTGATGACAACACTTAGCCAGAATCTGTCAAATGTACTTTAGAGACCCTTGATTTTCTAGTTGCAAGCCTAGTCAGATCGGCCAAATCAACTTAGGTATGGAGGGGAGATTTTATTTAAATGGATGCTTCACTTAGGGCATGTCTCAGCCAAAGCGGTGTCGAATCCTCTTGTTAAATATTTTTTCTCAGACTAATGTTTGAGCATTTTATTGTAATTTAAGTACTATCTATAGAATAAGAATAATTTTTCCTGCCAACATTTTTTGTGTTAATGTGACTCAACAAATAACATATTACAAAAATTGCTGTTCATTTCCATCTTTATCTTTGCATTACGATTAGTGGTATTTTGTTTTTCTTATACATATATATATATATA